GAGGACAGACCCACGTCAGCCGCGGAGGGGGGGGGTCCTTGGCCGGCAGGAAGGCCCGCGACGCGTCCAAAATCATGGACGGTTATTCTGAGAAACCCCCCCCCCCCAATCCTGCCAAGCTGGAGCTGCACAGGTGCTCAGCTTCTTGGTAAGGAAGTTTTCCGAAAGATACACATCACTGAAAAGACAAAGGGGCAAACAAAAGTGTGTTGACGCTTGTGGAGCTTTCCTCTCGATTCAAAAAAAACCCAACAAAGCCCCAGCCACGACTCCACCTTTCTGCACGCACGCAAGTGGGAGGCACACGGGAAAATTCGGCACCCGTGTTTTAGTTGAATGGCACTGCCCTGGTTGCAGATTTCCGCCTCTAACTCCGCTCAGCCTCCCCCACGCCCCGCGCCAGCCCTTCCTTCTCTGTGGGGGATTGACTCCAGCTCTACCAGGGAGCTCAGCCTCACCCCAGCCTCTCAGTGCCTTCCCTTGCCCGGTAATTTAAGAGTAGCTGCTTACTAGGACAGGAATTGCCCCACACCATTAAAAAAGCAAAGCAAAATGTTCTACAACCCAAGGTAAAAAACAAAACTACACGCCCCCCCCCTCCCCCCCCCCAAAACAACCCACCAGAGTAAAAGAATCCACGTCTATTCTGGACCTATCGTATCCATACATGCAACACACTTGCATGGTTTCGCGTTCATTTTTATTCAGGAAGTGAAATTAAACTTGTAAACTATAAATACAAATGCCAAGGTGTTACATGAGATATCCAGAGGCTTTATATTTTTTCATTTCTCACAAGTAACTCCTATGGAATTCAACATACAACAGGGAAACCAAGTTTAAGTTTTGCATACAATAAAAACAAGTTACAGAGTTAAGATACCGTCAATTTGCCAATTCATAAGAATTTCTACCTCATACAAATGAAAGCTCAGAAAACAACTATAATTCATTCAGTAATGGTACAGCAACTGTCATTTCTAACAGTGTTATCTGCATTAAGCGAGCTGTCTAACGAGGTGTACTTTACCACTGTTTACTCAGTGACATCACAAAGTTTTGAAATATTTTATTTATATACTGTCACCAATATATATATGTACTGCAAAGAGGGCCAAACACTTGCAAAAATGTCAAATTTTACACATTTGCATGAATATTTTTGCGTTTTTTCCCCAAACAGCAAAGCAGAGTCATTGTTTTCACACAGTTTCTTTGATTTGTCAAAAACCCCCACATAACTCCATCTATATCAAAGAAGCAGAAGAGCAAGCTTAATTGCAATTTCATTTATATGCAGGGGAAAAAAAAGGGTGTATCCATTTTGGATATTACCATACTTATATCTGAAGAAAAATAACCACCAAGAATAAGTTCACTAAATTTATTTTAAAATGATAAAATGATTCTTACAAAGGAGCACTACATCCTGCACACTGCCTTCAAAGGATGCCAGGGACACATGGACTACCAGTACTCTTTCCCTCTTCAGAAAAAAATACAGTGTACAAAAAGAGGGTGTTCACAACAGTTACAGAAAAACATTACAATTTACCACCAACAATGAACAAAAATAGTATTCACTCTGCTGCTGCTTCAAAATTTCAGTGTTAGTCTTGTGCGCCCTTTCCCTCCCCACACATATTTGTAAGGAACTAAACATTACATCTGGTGGACAGCAAAGATTCCACTACACCTCAAATGCAGAACACCTATGAAGCAGAGGAATGTTGGCTTTTTAAACAGAAGCAGATAAAAAAAAAAAGGGTGCAGGACTCCTTCAGTTCTTCACTAGTCTTAGAAAAACTTTCCAGAATACTGCTTCACACTATAAAAAAGAAAAAATAATCTTGCATTAGAATCCTTCAACATCTGCATACTGCTTCACACTATAAAAGAAAAAGAAAAAAGCATGTATTAGAATGATGAACCATACATCTTGCATCAACATTCACAATGACAATCTTAGAGAACAGATTAAATTACAAATTCCTAATACATTTAAAGTAAATAATTTTAAAAGATTAATGGCTATTAATTACAGGTATAGTAATATATTTTAGGCACATTTAAGTATTAGTAGTCTAAAGCCAAACATTCAAGTTAAAATGCTAAAATTTGCTATGACAGCCAACATGTTATTAAAGCAAAACTAAACAAATTAGATCTGAAGCTGTTAATATTTGGCAGAAAAGACAAAAGTAATGTCAACAAGGTGTGAAATGCTGCATAACAGCCCCAAATCGATTTCAACTTATCCTGTAGAGGCATGGTCTGTGCCATATGGCAGACTGTGATTTGTTGTCAATTTAGTTATCTAAAAACAACAAAATCACTAGTCTTCCACACAGAACTAGACCAACATCCAATGAAATCTTCTATATTTTCTACAGGCTCTATGTAATTTATTACAAGTAGTTTTTTTGCAGCAGTTTTCACCAGAGAAATGAGAGGACTGCTTGGTTAAGGTGTCTTCCAGCAAGATTAGTTTTGAGGGTGTCTTCATTTTAATTAGAATGGAGAACAGAATCAACATAATCAAGGCAGAACTACCACTGCAGAAGTTAGGTTCAAATAGTTACTTAAAACCTGCCTTCTAAAAACTATCACAGAGAAGAGCAGCTTTAGAATGTACATGTCAGTTTAAAATTGACAGTAGGGACATAAACTTTAACTTGCCTGTTCTGCAGTAAATACTGTGCATTTTGTATCTGGTCCTGTGTTCCCGTAATAGTTATTATCCGATCTTCTGAACCTTCCAACGGTTCATCAATTTTGATCGAAGCTCCCGACTCATGACGTATTTGTTTGATTCTCTGGCCTCCCTTTCCAATAATAGATCCTGCCAACTATGGGAGAAAGCAAAGCGTTCAATTCCTGATACAACTTCCTCTCTAAAAACAGTTATGAAAATCACAGCAGTGTTTGAGTAGCTTCCGTAAGTTTAAAGAGTTGCAATGGAAGCATACTTTACAGCCTCAAAATACCCCCTGCAATATTAATTGTATAAGCACAGATGGGATAAAAGTGGGAGAACAAGTTACTCGTTTGCAAAAAACAAGTTACAGAGACCATCTCTATTACTGAATATTAACAATTAGTAAAATTGTTTAGTGTCTCTCTAAAGGGAACACACAAACACTCGAAGAATAGACTTTTGGTGATTTAGAAACACTTGCTTTATATGAGAAGTACTCATCAAGCACCCTTGATACTTCTGATTTACTTATGTAGTATAGAAAAGGCTGTGACTTTTCTTTTTTAAGAGAAAACATAAGCTGAAAGCAAGCCAACTTTACTTACATCTTTGGGGATCGTTACTTGTGTTGTGATGATGGGTCCACCAAGATCTCCGTATGAACCACGCCCCCCTGCATAAGAATAGTCTGATTTAAACGTATGCATCAAGCCCTTTAATAACTACATAATTAAGTACAGGTAAAGGTTCTATATAAACACTTACCATATCCAGAGCCACCCTCAAACTGTAAGAGAAAGAGAAAAAACCTTAAATAGTGAATAGCCATGCTTCATTAACATATTTTCATCTTAAGTATCATATTCTTAACTTTGAGCCTATTTTATGCAAAAATCTCAACCCTCAACCTTACTATAAGTACAACAATGTTGTGCCATCAAAGGCATACTGAGGCAGAGGGCAGACCAGAAACAAAAGGGGTGGGTGGGGAAATCTCATTAACCTCTTAGCCTGCCCTGTCAAAACCTAGCTAGAAGTTAAGGCATAAAATGACATAAAGGATCCAGCTATACCAGTTTACCAAGCAGTCTCACTAATTCAGCTGCTGGTAGACAGCTCTTGATGCTGACCTACTCCTGACCCTTGGACTAAACTACATTCAAACAAAAAGATCGGAGTACAGCCTTATTAATGCTACCATACAGCTCAGGAGAGACTCAAGTCTTCAGTTTTGGGACAAAAAGTTTACCCAGTGGCTGTCAATCCTCTTACTTCATCAACATCTTCAGAAAAAAACCCAAAGCTATTAGGAATAGCTCTAACTCGTCTCTTGATTCAGACTATGCTATGATCCCTTCTGTCTTAGAACAGATAATCATGACATGAGTTACTTCTGTTCCTCTAAAGCCACCACACACCAAATCCAAATCACTGCAACAAGCACTCCTGGCCTCTTTTTATTTTTAGTTTTGTAGACCAGTATTTAACATCAAGTGCTTCACTTCATCTAATGCCTTCTAAGTGCACAAGACCCCATTTTTATACTTTCCTACAGAAGCAGAGAATATACATACACAGTTGTGCAGAATTCAGCTTCTGGGAGACTGCTGAGGTGGCCTCTGTGAGAAGAGGCCAGGGGCTGCCCTGTGCCGGACAAAGCCAATTCTAGTCAACACCAAAATGGACCCACTTCTGCCTAAAGCCAAGACCATCGGCAAAGATGGTGGCACCTCTGTGATAACATTTAAGAACGGGTAAAAAAAACCTAGCGTGCACTGGCTGTTACAGATTAGCAAGAGCAAAAAAAGTGAGAGAAACAATCCTGCACGCACCAAGTGAAGAAGGCGGGGGAAGAGGTGCTCCAGGTGCTGCAATGGAGCTTCTTCTGCAGCCCACAGAGAGAACCACATTGGAGCAGATAGCCAAACTGCAGCCCATAGAGGGCCTTATGCTGGGAGCAGGTAGATAGGCCCTGAAGGAAGCTGCAGCCTGTGGAGAGCCCACATTGGTGCAGGTGCCTAGCAGGGCCTGTGGGCAACCCATACTGGAGCAGTCTGTTCCTGAAGGACTGTACCCCATGAAGAGGACCCAGGCTGGAGCAGTTCTTGAAGAACTGCAGTCCATTGGAAACACCCACATTTGAGCTGTTTGTGAGTGACTGTGTCCCATGGGAGGAACCCCACACTGGAGCAGGAGAACAACGTGAGGAGGAAGGAACAAAGCGTGATAAACTGACTACAACCTGCCACTCCTCATCCCCCTTGCACCACTCGTGGCAGAGGAATCAGAAGAGTAGGGAATGAAGGAATGAAGTTGAGCCTGGGAAGAAGTGAAGGGTAGGAGAAAGGTGTTTTTAGTTTTCCTCTTTTGTTTCTCACCACGCTACTCTATTTAAAAGTGGCAATAAATTGATCTTCCCCACGTTGACTCTGTTTTGCCCATGATGGTAATTGGTAAGTGAACTCCCTGTCTTTATCCTGAGCCACAAGCTTTTCCACCTTACTTTCTCCCCTGATCCTGCTGAGGAGAGGGAGTAAAAGAGTAGTTGGGTGGGCACCTGGCAGCCAGCCAAGTTCAACCAACCGCCACTACTTGTTTGCAGAAGTTGTAATGCATCAACTTTTACCAAAATACTGTTTACCTGCTACCTTTCCAGAAGATCAAAATGGAAGCTACTCAGACCAAGGAGTTGAGCTTATTCTCTGTCTCTAAGCAACCTATATTGTGTAGCCACGTTGCTTAGCAATACAGATTGTAATACAATATAACAGAGCTTGTAGTGCAGTCCAAAATACAAGAGAATGAAGGACTCTGCTTAAAACTTAATTCAGAGGCTGATCAGAGCAGCATACTGCATACACATAGACATATTCCTGTCAATATTTGCCACAGGATCCCTTTTTGGGCTCATCTGTTTTAAAGAACAATCCTTTACTTGATCATTTCTGCCTCCCCCCTCCCCAGACTACAGGACAGCAAATGAACTTGACAGCACATGAGTTAAGCAATTACATTTGCTGTGTTTATCTAAGCTAAGAGCTGACTTTTACTATTTGGCAGCACTTTGCCATCTTCTAGACAGCATGAACACCTGATGAACCCTGTAACTTCCCTTCCCAAAACCTACCTGATCAAATGGTGTATTTTCAAATACATTGGTAAGTAAAGTGTAATATTTCATCCACAAATATAAGAGGCTACTTTTAATATTTGCTGTTTGAAATATGAGAAAACACAACATCATGAAGTTAATACAAAATATATAACCTAAATGCATGCATCTGCAGTGCGTCAGTTACGGAGAAAGTTACTACTTACAAAATGAAAGTGGGGTGTGTAAAAGGTAAAAAGAGGTACAGAAAAGTTCCTCTCTTTTGGCTGTGCTGCTGCATACTTCCACATTTCGATTAACATTACCTGCCTGCACAGGCAGGACAGACCGTTAAGGCAAACTGCCAATAAATGCTAAGTCCAAAGGACAGCTTTATGATTTTGAATATGTGCAAGTTGCCACTGACTACACTGGCGATCAAGAAATTCCCGTTACCACTTAACCTGTTCAATAAAGCAGTTTTCAGAAAAAGGTTGAGCACACTCACCAACTCTGGTGGCTGCATGTCGTCACAGGCATCCACATGACACTGCATCATCTTCCAGACACAACATAATAGGAGGAAAAGAGGAAAGAAATCTCAATTAAGTCCATGTCATGCAGACTTAAAGGTGACTTGGCAAGCAAATACAATACATATTGGTACAGAGAAACAATTTATACTATAACAAGGAATTAAAAGTATGTGATTTAGACCACTTTCAAGACTTGCTCCCTTTTAATTTCACTTTGAAGAAACTGTAAGTGGTCATACACACTTTTCCCCCTTTTTCTGTGTGTAAACAGATTTTTCTTCTAACAAAAAAAGGTCAGGGAGTTAATGGCAGAGCAAAGCTTGAACAATTTTTTTTTTCTTTTAGAACACCCTTAAGTACTATTATGTATCAAAATCTTTTATTTCTACTATGTGTTAGAAAAATCTTTCATTTCTTCCATGTGTTAGAAAATTAAGGTTTAGCAAGATTGAAACAACTAACTGTCAGTGATTATGCCAACAGCAGGTCAAGGAGGAAGGACACTGCTTCTCCTGTTCTACCAATTCATTTCCATATACCTCATATAGCCAATAAGTAGACTAACAATCTACTGCTGCCTAACTATATTAGAAATTTAATTATGTTTTTAAAATGTGATATATAGCATTTCGTTCTTTCAGAGTTCTACAATTTCAGCAACTGATTTTCATTTGTGCACTCTAACCCAGCTTCTCAAACAGGGTAACTTCACATATGTAACAGAATATTCTGCTCTGTGAACTCATTTGTGCTAGTGACTACCGCTACTAGAATAGAAACCAGATGACATGCTGGCTGGGTAAGACAAAGAATTTAAAATGTATGCAGTCCTAAGTGATGTCAAATTCTTTTATCATGATTTTCCCTGTTTTTTAAACAGTGACCCAGGAGAGTGAAATTTTGTTACTTTCTTCCAGCATCTGCATGGATAAATAGGGAAGTTTCCCTACTTTTTTAGTAGGGAATCAGTTCCTTTACTGATTTTTTACATGCTTGTTAATGTCCCATCTCTTAAACAAGAATAATGTTTTGGGGTTTTTTTAAGTGTATGTGCCTTTATTCAAGCGTTTGTATGTCAAGACATATGTATGTACACACACATATATAAGTTAAAAAAAGATGAAGAACTAGGAAGCATTTGAAGGAGCAAAAGCACATTAGAAGTCTGAAGACACTCACAGAAGTCTCTGAGGAGACAGTCCACGTAACAGGAAACATTCTGATTTAAGTCTCTATTAACTTTGATTTAAAAATTTTGAGTACTTTGAAAATTTCAGTACTTGATCAGTTAAAAAAGAGGTGAGGGGATAAAATTACTTTATATTTTTGTCCACTTTATTTTCCACCCCTGCCATTGATATCTGTGTGCCTTTGTGTATCTGAAAGACCCCTGAGGATGAGGGTGTTAAAGAAATACTGGAAATATATTCAGGTTTTTTCAGCTGTCAGAATAGCCCTTATGGTCCACAGGCATTTGATTTGGAGCCGTTACACACTGAAATATATAGCTCTGTTAACAGAGAAACAATACAAGTCTGTCCTTCAGGAAAAAGCTTGAGAACACAGATGATAAACCAAATGGACTCTTTTCAACAGCAGTGCATAACTAAACTACAACTGTAAGCCAGGCTAACAGACAAGTATCTTCTTAAGTGGCTGACTCCACATGGGCAAGAGGAATTAACCTGTCTTTTAAAATCAAAATGTTTTTTCCTCATCTCAGCATTTACAAGGCTGTCAATACTGTCGTAATTCTGGAATTCCAGAAAATTCACAGTTCAGCATCCAGTTTTAAAGGACCACTCAATCTTTCTGCCTTTAGTGGAAAAGAGAACTGGCAAAAAAAGGAGATTGTTTATATACATTCAACATTTCCATGATTTTCAAGACATTCCTCTGAGAAAAGCATCTATTCTTGCCTTTTATTATATTTATATAAAATAGAATCTATGTGAAAGAGCACTTTTGCTCTCTTAGAGCAGCCTTTCCAATGCATTACTTAGTTCACAATGATGTTGGTTTACTCTAGTTTAAATGTTTTGTTAGAGAATGGTTTCTATACGAAACAAAGGGTAGCATAAGATGACCTTACACTTCTGGCATGACATTTCCAGCTCCAGCCTCACATGGAGACTTCCTATCTGTTTACACTATTGACGATACTAGGATCACGGTTAACAAAAACTAGAAATTAAATAGTTGTTGTTGGGAAGCAGTCCTCACTTTCACAAGGCTATGATACTTGGGTCATAAAGGAGTCAAAGCCATGAGCAGCTTCACTGTGAAGTGGAAATAAAATTGGTTTTTTGGAATGAAAAAAAATGGAGAGAGAGGACTCCACTTATTTTTAGAAATTCATGTCAAGAAATCAAAGGTCAACCTGACAAAAGTCAGGCTAAATAGATGTCAAAATGGATTTTCTATTCTAGCTGGAATGGAATAAAAATAGAACACACTACTGCCCAAGAGTCAAGCTAAGAAGACTGTGCTCAACCAAATAAGGGCAGGCCGCTCAGTTTATATGCTCTAGCACAGGCTTTATTAGCTGCAAATACAAGAACACAAAACCTGAGCTTTGAAAACGTGTAAATACATGTAAGGAATCTTGGAAGGTGTACTTCTCAATTCTTGCAGTTTCTTAACATGTAGAGTAGCACGGGTCACACTTTTTTTTTTTGTATTTCTAGTAAGCATGTGGCATTCTTGCAATACATATTTCCAGTAACTCTTACTCCCAAGAAGGAGGAAGTGTGTAAAGCCCATTTAGGTAGCCCATTTCATAGCTCCTCCAATTCCTTTCTCTTCCATTCATTTAAATGAGGGCAAAAAAAAGAAGAAAAACAGAAAACAAATCTTGTCTCACCTGTCATCTTAAAGAAGGTGCCAAACAAAGCCAGAGGAGAAAAGAAGATTGTTACTATAGAGATTTACCTCACAGACACACCTTATTTCTCTTCCCAGGAAAGAGGAATCTAGGAAACAGCAGATGACTGCTGGGAAGTAGCATTTCAGAATACAACATGGAAGAGTATCTTTAAGCCATTTTTTAAGCTTCCATATGCTACGAGATATTTTTTTCCTCAGCAAGTATTAGCATTAATATGGTCAAATGTACCTAATTTAATTTAGGATTCAACTTAGCAGTGGCCCTAGCTCCCAAACATTTGGAATTACAGTGGAATTTTCGCAGACAGAGAAAACAGCAAATAGACAAGAACTTATTCAAAAGAGCAGTCACCTTCCAGATCAACTACAGCTCTTCACAGATACTATTCTTTAATCTGTATTATTCTACCTATACTTGTGTTTTCCAACATTAATGTTAAGAACGCTTGTATGAATCAAAGGATTTCAGCGATGTTGTTCTGACACGTTTTCTTTATCTGAAAGGCCTCCCAATTCCTATTTCTGTCATCCTGATGGAAAAAAGAATCTAAAAGATGGTCAGTGCAAGAAAACCTGCAGGGTAGAGCACAGTCAAACTTTCTGTATCATTTTTGATGGCAGGGAGGAAAGAAAGCAAACAGATCATGTCCCAGATACCACTTACAACCCAAACATTCCTCCACAGGAGGGACCATTTGTATAGACAAAACATTTTGGTGGTATCATCAGAACCATGCATGTCCCACACTTAAGTGCATGCATTCAGCAACAGTATCTTGAGGCAGCGAGCACGCTAACTGTGCTTATGAAACAGGACAAGGCAAATTTTAAACTCGTACCATGCCATCGTAACGGTCTCCTGGTCTGCCCCTTCGGTCATAGGACATAAGATCTCTAAAATGAAAAAAACCAGCAGCATGTGAATTGCATTATAAACTAGTTTAGCTATTCTAAGTTAAATTTTCACATTCATGGTTCACACACAACTTAAAATTTCAAACTACTCTAGCCAAGTACTGAATGACATAGAAGTTTCAGAACTACTGACTATAGTCCTGGTAGATTACTACAGTGCAGCAATAATTAAATTCCAGTACTTTTCAAAATACTCTCATCTAATACACATGCAATCCTGCATAATCACTACCAACATGGAAGTGTGGAAAAAACACTGGAAAGATGTACATGACTCAGGAGACTGTACACAACATGAGTTTTGTATAATGCATTTATGCAACAACTCACCCGCCACGAGGAGGTGGTGGAGGAGGAAGAGGAAGATTACGAGCTCTGCTGCCACCTCTACCTCCACGACCTGGTGGAGGTGGTGGAGGTCCTCTGCGAGGGCTCATATCATCATAATCTCTTCTTGATGGAGGCATAGGTCGTCCACCACGACCAGGGGGCATTCGATCAAAACCTCCTCTTCCACGCATCGGAAAGCCTACTGGACGTCCCCTTCTATCATCAAACATCATTGTGAATCCACCATAGTCATATGTTTCATCATAGAAATTGGGATCATAAGGCTGGGCCCGTCCTTTAATTGGAGACTAAAACAAACAAACAAAAAAACAATTCCCCCCCCCAATCCAATTAGGACTATTACAATTGGCATATTTAATGAAATCAATATATTAAATGTATAAAATGGATTTATGCATTTGGAACATGTGCTTGATTTCATAAAGCTGTTAAGGAGATGGTGATGTGTTTCCCATGAACTTAACTATGATAGAGAAACTGCTGTTACTTATCAGTGGCAAATAAATTTTGTCCCCCTTCCTCTTCAATTTTTTCATCTTAATGACATGCAAAGCATGAATAATGGCCCACTAGTACAAAAAATTGCTTCCCTCCCCCATAAAGTGCACTCCAATTCTAGAAAATGGAAACAGCTTCAAAAGGTGGTACCAGTCAATCACTTTGTTACTGGGAAAGTAGGAGGTACTAAATTCAGAATAGAAACTGAAAGATACGCTTTTCATCCAAATGATCCTTAACATTCACGGATGACCATGAAAGAATAAAATAAAGTTAATAAGTATTACCTCAGAGATAAGATCCAAGATAATCTTGATACATTCAACGACTCTATCAGGTTTTCCACCAATAAGCACCACTCTGTCAGTAGAATGAGGACAACACTCTTGGAAGAGCTTAATGGTGGTCTGAGTGTTCTGTTGAAGAAAAAAAAAAATCTAAGATTATCTAATGTAAGTATTTTAACAACTTTACAAACCCATTAATACATTTTTAAAGAAACAATCCAAAAGACAAATTCCCAGTGATTTTAAGTGCGTGCTTGTTTCTCAGTTCTCACAACAAATTTAATTTTAAGATGACTTTTTTTTTTTTTTTAAGATCTGTGCTGACATAGTTTTGTAAGAAGAGGAAAAAAGTTCCATCTTCTCCTCTTTCAATTATGGCTCATCTACACCATCATTTAATTAAAAACTAGCAGGACCACGTATCCATTGCAAGCTTACAAGTTACATGTATTAACCTTCACATGTCAAGAGAACATGCTTTGGATGCAAGACAGTAATGTTGCTGGGATTATGCCTGGTTACCTTGCCTTTCTCAACCCATGCAAACAGGTTATACCTTAACTGACCTGACATTGCCTCTGACACAATGCCAAGAAAGGACAGAAAACAGAAGTGTGTCTTAAGTTCATAGAGACCATTAGCTTTTTAAAATCTCATTCCTTCATTGAAAGAAAGCAATGGTCTTCTAGGAGGTAGAATTTAAAAAAAAAAAAAAAAAAAAAGCCCTTTTACAGTAATATTCAGACATCTACTGAATTACCATCATAAGAATTTGTGGAGATGCATTCATTCTAAACCATTTTGCAGGTCCAACCACACGAATAAATCTATTCCATGCAGCAGTTTGTTCTAGGAGTGACAAATGCTATTTTAATTAAAAAAATCCTTTCTTTTTAAAAACATTACTCTACCACAAGTATTTTTCAGAAGCCTGGTAACAAGTCCTAGGCTCTATCACCAACGACTTTACTTTCTGAGGGTTTGCAAGAAAGTTGCAACTCACAGATCCATCTCAAAACACTGAAATCACGTATGCCGTATGTTCTGAAGGAATTACTGCACAGAAGATACTTACACTTGTCCCTTATGAACACAAAACACTAAGTTGTTTATTGAAAAAACCCAAATCTCAGAAGAACAGGAAACAAGTACCTCTCTGAGCTCTTTAATTTTAGCACCCTTAACACCAATAATTCCTCCTGCCAAACTTTGGTGAATGAGAAGTCTTAATTCGCAGTCAAAGTCACTGCCTTTGTAGTGTTGATACTGTAAGAAAGATGCATACAAAGAAAAGAATAAAATATTAGTCACATAAAAATTTAATATTGGGGTTTTTTCCTGCAAGCATAATGGTATGACACTGCTAAATTGTAATCCTGTATTTCCTTTGATAAGATCGCAACTATTTAAGCGCCTCACCATAAACTGATGTCAGATCATGCTTTCCTTATTCATTATATTACATGCACAACTTTCTACAAAGATTTAAGAACATATCTATCAAAACAGTGCAACAGTCTTACTTACAAAGCCCATGCAGGACACAAGTTACAATACAACTACTTCAAAATGTGGATGACAAGTCAGGAGGCAAGTATTTTGAAAAGGGGGACGCGGTTTGAAACCTGTCTCTATCCTCTACCAAAACAATGCCAATATGTAGTTTGAGAGCGATAACCCTTCTTTAAAAGGCTTTTGTTTTTTATTTTCCATTGTCCTATATTTAAAAAGCAGCAAATCATCTAGAACCGTATAGTTTCAAGAGCTAATCTTTCACCTCTAAAAAGAAACAAATGTTAAGAGAGATACCTCTTCTAAAGTAGGGATAATCTTCTTCAGGATTTCTCCAATTGTCTCTATATCTGCACTTATGCTCAGGATGCTGTTGGAGGCCATAATGCCAGACAATATGGAGAAGGTGGAAAAGAAGAAGTAGAAGTAAATTTTTTTCATCATCATACACAAAATTCTAACAAGATTTACTACACAGAAGAGCTTACAATTAATATTCCCCATTTAAAGTAAACCTGTTTGTTCAATTTACAACACATGCATCTTTGTTTATGCCCAATATATATGCATGATAAATTTAAGATTAGGTAGGTCTTGCAGAGAGAGGGAGAGAGAGAAAGACAGAATGGGCTTTTGGAAGGGCTCAGATTAAGTGGGCAAGAAATTGACGCAGAACTGAAAGCAGAAGTGAATATTCATGTTCCCCGCCACCACTAATTTAGGATACCCTCGCTATTACATTGGTAAAACTGGCACACCTTCTCATAGAAAAAGTGGGGATATGCAAGTGGTGAACATTGTATCTGGAGTAAGGTTATGAGACCAGTTAGAAATCAGATTACTAATGGGCTCTCCAAGAAAACAAATACAAATGCAAGACAAAAAAAAGACAAAACAAATGAGAAGTGAAGGAAAGTGAACCAGAGTTAGCATTTCATCAGAAATAATTATGAACAGGCAATGTTGAGGGGAGCAAGGTGGGCCACAAAGACAGAGCGAGAGACTATTTTGAAACAATTTGATTTACAATGCAGCAAATATGCAACACTTGAAGCTGTGCTCCTTCCATTGAAATAAAATTAGTGGATTGTTTGGGTGGGCAACTCACGTAAAAGTTCAGTGACAAAAAGACTTAATGGGGAAAATAAGACAGAAAACTTGAAAAAAAACAATACACCGTCTATAAGGGGATACTATTTAATTATATCAAAGGCAGGTAATAAAATACATTTCTCTCTTTCTAATCAGGCAGTGAGGCATAAACTGTTGGGACATACCGCTCGGGGCCACTGCTGTCTGGGACTGAAACACTGGCATTGTACTGCATTGGTCATTGGCGTTCGTGGATGTTGGCATTGGGCATGGGCATTCAATCGGAAGTTGTCAAGTATGGTACCCGTTTGGCAACGAGCACATTTTTGGGCATAGCCAACCAGGGTTTTCACATGGGCGTTCAGGGGCGGATGGGCCAACGTCATGGTGGGCAACGCAGGGGCAAGTCGATCCAGTACATGGGCAACGGAGATATATGGCCAAAAAAACAAGGAGAGGGAAAAGGGGGAAAAGCAATAAATTTTAATTTAATACAAACTATACTCATTACTCTCAATTAATGAAACAAGCTTAAGTTGTTCTGAAGACTAACACAATAACGGATTGCTACACCGACTGTGGCTTAACAGTATGGACCTTAAAAATGAGTCACTTGATCTGACTAAACTACTTTTTACTTTTAACATGTGATGTTTCAGTAGCAGGCTGGCTCATGAGGGTAGACACAAAACCTGTCGAGACTGGTATTACTAGAACCTTGGGCAAATCGGGAGAGATAGTTTTCCAGACCAATCTAAATTATCTGGACTTAGGTGACATATTGATTCACTTAAAAAAAAAACCAACAAAAAAAAAGCCACAAAAAAAAACACCCTAAAAAAAAAACCAGCTAGCTGCCAAAGTTAGTGAGCATATGTATGATTCCTGACCATTTCAACTTAAACCTCAATTCTAGTTGCGGTAGTTTATGAACTGAGTTGGAACTGATTTGTAACAACAATATTGCCAAATCTTGTGTTGAGCAGAGTCTTGATCAGAAAAACTGTTGAAATTGTAGCTGATGTTAAGTACAGGAGTGTAAATATATGGAATTTAAGAAGCGTTGCCAGGTTTTATAAATACACAACATTAACGCTGAGCATGTGTCTAATCACAAGAGTCAACCCACTGTAAAATGTGAATAGGCAAGTCATGACCATTTAAAAATGCTTCCAAGTAACAGAATAGAACATTCCTTTACTGTTCTATACCCATATTTAAATCATGCAACCTTAATATTAATGCTTTTGTGTTTCATGTACAAGCTGTTGAAGAACAGATGGACCATTTTGTTTGTTTGCTTTTTTTAAAGGAAGTTAAAAGAATTCCTCTACCACCAGGTTAAGCCAGCCACCTGCAATGGTTTCAGTAGTACTGTAATTGATTCATACATATGGGGAATGGCACAATTAAGGGTTTTAAGCTTCGTCAATATTTCTAGTTAGGATGTTAACTCACTTGAAGTGTGTAATTTAGTGGAATCCTATTCAAAAGTGAAGAGATTTAATATAAACCTCTCTTTCCACGAGTCAAGCTGGGTTTTAATTACAGTAGAAATTGAAGAACTAAGTCATCTACTCTAATGATCAATACAAATGGCTTGTAACTAGACTACTGATGTCTAGAGTTGAATTGCTCCCATTTCTAGAAATGCAATCAAGCTTTTGATGTAGTGCTCTGAAAGAATTGGTGTTAAATTAGTTCAAACTCATATATACTCACGTCTGTACGAAGTGCCTTAATATTTTTGCCACCTTTTCCAATCACTGCTCCAGCATTCTGGAAAATAGTTTTCAGAAGTTATGTTATGCCAGCACAGCACAGACTACCTTTTTGAGCTCAAGACTAAGAATGGTAAATCTATTTTTGCATTACGCTGTTGGCCTGGGGGGTGGGGGCAGTCGGGCACTGCTTTTGAAAGGTTCAGATCAAATTGAAACAAACTGATATAGTTTGTCCATGGAAAAAATGACCAACAGCTCTTACCACTGAACTTAAGAGAATGATATTCAGTTTAACTAATATTCTAATTCCAAATGGAAGTTTCTAGGCAATTCTGCCTATGTTAAAGCAATCTCATAAACTATAGCTCTCAAAAAAATATACTGTATGAATGTTATGTAGGTCAATGATTTCCCTAATTTATCAGCTTTTTCTTAATTTTTTTTTTTTAAGGAGTATGTTTGCAAATGCCAGTTTTGCACTCCAAACATTTCTTCGTAACTTCAAGTGCTAATTTTGGTTTATACCTCTAACTTAACTGACTTGTCAAGGCAGTATATTCTGAAAATGGTTAAAGTCAATGTTAACAGCCACCAACTTCAAGTTTCTAACATCAACAGGAATAAACTGGCAGACAGTCAAGGAAAGTAACTGCAAAACTGTATTTTTACCAGGTTATTTTGAGGATTACACGCAGAAGTATTGCTTTTATTACACAGAGTATACATTATATTAACAGCATGCAAAACATTTCACGGCACCCCACGTAACTTGACTATTGGTCAGAAATGCCACACAGAGTTAACATTCCCCCATGCCAACACAAAAGACTGAGATACTTCAGAAAGTACAAATCATCTGTAACTACTGGAAACACCCGAGAAAATTCATACATAGCAACTTTACTGTAACTATTTACATTTGTCAACAAAACCATTGCAACCGCTGAAGCATCGCTCCCACATTTCTTCCCGTTGATATATTTGAACAAGCTTAGTAGATCTGTTCAGGAGAGTTACTAAAATCCTAAGCAAGTTCTCATCTTAACTCTCATATTTAATTCAAAATCACTAGCCAATCATTCTCTAAACTGCTTCCTTTCCAACAACTAATACAGTCATTTCCCTCAAAACAACAACCTTCCACTCAAATGTAAAAACACCTTATAATTTCTATTGCTCTGTTTTTTCAGCAAGTACATCTTTTAAAAATAACTGTATTGATGCTTAGGGACTTACCCTTTAAAAAAACTACTGAAGATAATTCCATTGCAATACACTTTTACCACCATTCACGCACACTTGAAATTATTCCTAGTAAATTTTCTCACGTTAAATGAAGTATATATTCTTTCTAAACATATACCCCAACATACACTTTGTCACCACTGTCTTGAGTAACACTATAAGCAAAACCAGAAAAAAACAAAAAAGCATACTTTGCTCTGAAGCAGGATGCGTAATTCAACCATCTCGTCTGTGTTCCGAGATCTTTTGAAGGCCTGCTCTTCCTCCATATCTTCTGCAGGACGTTTGCCTGTAGAGAGGTCCATAGGGGGGAAACACAAACATTTATTTAACTTTCCAAGTTGTAATGAAATGGAACACATGAGAAATTCATGCTCTGTATTCTTAACACATTCTTTCCTATTGGCCCAACACTAATTATTGATGCCCACTCTGAGAGCATCCATAGCACAGAAACAGGTCTTTACTTCATCAGCTTATGTATCAATTAACTGCAGAAAATATATTTAAAAATCTATGACCTATGGTTTAAATGAGAATGTTGCACACAGCCAGTGAGAAATTCATGACACGCTGTTCAAAGCAGGGCAGCATCACCCACTTAGTATTTATTTATCATTTAAAATTGGGAAAAACCTTTCAGACAAAAAGCTCAAATGCCGTTTGTCCAACACTGAAATACTGGTGGAATAATACTAAAGTAGCACTTCAAAGACTGTTTGAAAAGAACTGGCATGAATCAACGACACTAATGCCCTAACTTCCTCACTAATTATGCCCAAAGAAGTTTTTCATGAAGCTTTTTAGAGGCATTTCACATTTATACTACTGCATGTAAAAACTGCAATAAACAAAATGCAATTAATGGATATGCTTGATAGTATTCTTACATATTGACACTGTCCACATAAGTACTGAATATTTAACTATGAAATATTTTCAAATCCTTAGTCGTAACTTTAAGCTACTTATCCCATGTCTAACATGCCAACAGAGACATTATGCCTTTATGCTTCAAAAGCACATGTAATTTTATGTTCTAATTAAAAACAAGAAGAGTTAATGCAGAACGCAAAATTACTGCAGATACAAACACTTGATGCAGTTAAAGCATTAGAAAATATTTAGAAACATTTAAATTTAAAGAGGCTCTTTCTAAAAAGAAATAGTCCTTTAAAAAATTTACCATTTGTCTCTGTGTTGGTAAAGGTCTCTTCCTGTTGTTCAGTCTCCATTGCCTTTTTTTCTTAGGTGGGCAGGCAAAACCTGTTGAAGAATAAAAAAGCTGGTACATCTATTCTGTGAAAAGGCAAACTGTACACTGTGCTAAAGGGAAAAAGCAAAAAGAAATGCCTGCTTCTAGAACTTACCGCGATTATATATCCTTCCAGAGAAAAACTCAAGTATTCTGGGCGGGATCAAAATCCAACAGCCTATGAAAACAGCATGTATCAGTTGTGACTCTGCTCACTTACAGCTTTCACTACAGCCAAAAACCAGAGGTTTGACCTGAGTTTCTGTTGCAAAGGTTTTCTTTATAAAAAGAGAAAGCATACACAGGCCAAACATAGCACTAAGACAAGATAAAAGACAAGTCTGAAACTTACAGATAAACAATTACTGTCTGAATTATAGTTTTGGGGCACATGCTAGTTTTACTGAACCACATTTACTAAAAATTATTTTCAGATATTTAAAGTGAACATGCATCCAAGCTCCTATTTTCAACACATTTTATGACACATGCCTTGGATTTATTTTTTAAAGGACACTATGTAACGATCTGCTCCTGCTGTTTAGTTCTAAACAACTGAAACAAAAGAAAGTCCTATTATGGTTATTGTCAGCATTAGTTTCATAAACTGTCTGCCAATGTACTACCAGGCATTTTAGCATGCCTTCCACTCAAGTATAATAGATGAACAAAAGACAAATTACAGCTTCTAGCCATACTGGAAAAAATCTTTTAAAAATACCACCCTCTGGAGTTACATATAATCCTCTGCACACACAGAGACAAGAACCTCAAAAGCAGCTTAACTTCACCATGATTTTCTGAAATAGGTATCTTTTGTGACATGCTTTTGTTAAGTTGATCTCACAATACTAGTAAGTCCCATTAGAGAGAAGTCTAGACAAAAGAAATAATTTTGCAACTTATTCCCTTCAGAAATGTGTTTCTAGAGATAACACAGCAAAATAATCATGTGCTTCCCCCTTTGTATTTTATTAATTTCCATTGCCTCAACAAGTGGTAGCCATTCATTCTGGCATCCGTGAAGGAAAAAATAGGATGAGGTGCAGCTAGCTTTTTAAACATACTCTCAGCCAGCTGCTAATTTGTAATTGTTGCCCTGCTTGTACAAGCTAACAGCAGGCACTGCTTTCCCAGCACACGCTGGTCCTTCCAGACACTTTAAGTGGGGTAACGGACACACACAGACCTAATGATAGCGAAATCTCAGCCAGGAGTTGCCAAAACGGTGTGGGGGGGGGGGGGGGTGTGTGCAGGAAGAGGTCGGGCAGACTTTTACATGGTTTAAATAGTCATTTCGGACCCCGGTTATCCTATTTCGAACCATCCTAATAATTTCAAGGCTGCGGGGAGTGAACCGTAATACACTGATCAGGGCTTAGCTTCCCCTAGTCGCCTGTGTTTACCCGCCCAGCCAAACCTCCCCCGGCCGCGTGTACCTAAGGTGCTCTCAAGTCACCCCGCTCCGCTGGGAAAATCGAGTTCCCGCGATTAAACTGACTAATGCCGTGTTTTTACAAACACCGAAAGGATAAAGCGGCCACCAAAGGCGGGGGGAGGCGGCGCCAGCTACCACAGACCTAAGACAGGAGCTGGGAAACGCCGGCGCGCCTCAGCCCCGCTCCCTCCGGGGCGCAGCGGCTCTTCCCGCCTCTCTCCCTCCCTCTCCCTGCGACCCAGCCGCCCGCCGCCGGCACGGCCTCCGCTGCCGCCGGGCCAGCTCCCGGGCAGGGGAGCGGCGGCGTTACATAACTCCCGCGGCCCCAGCCTCGCCTCACCTCCCCGGCGGCGGCGACCAGCAGAAATGGCGGCCGCTGTAATGGCGCCTGCCCGCTGCTAGGCGGAGCCGGGAGCGGAAAAACCACCTCCACCACGCGGCCGCGGAGAGATTTACCCCCCTCTCCGCCCAGGGAGACACAAAGGAGGCGCCCGGCGGCCCGAGCCCCAGCGCAGCCGGCGGAGCGGGACCGCCCCGCC